TTTATTTTACGTTGCTTTTCCTTAATTTTCTTCCACATTCTAGATTTTTAACATTAAATTTTCTTCCACATTCCTTAATATTCTAGATTTTTTACACTAGATTTGAACCCCACCAATAAATTTTCTTCCACATTTTACGTTAAATTTTCTTCCACGGTCGCCGTCATAAGCATCATTATAAGCCGTGGAATCCGCATGGTGGATAAAAATAGATGATGAACATGACTTCATTTACCTGTTGGTGGGACGATGACTTAGATCGGGGAGAAGAGATAGAGCAGAGACAGAAAACTAAGAAAAGGATGTTGAAATGATTAATATAAAAATATAAAAAATAAATAAATTTAATGTATACGGGCCAACCTCCAAGGCTTCAAGGCCGGGCTTGGCTATGGAAGCCTGAGGCCTTTTAAATAAAAAGGCTTTTGCATGAGTATAAGTCTGGGCTTAATAATAAAAAAGACGAGCCGAGCCGAGCCAAAACGGGTCGGGCCTAAGGCCCCTGATAGGCCCATGGCCTTATTATCACCCGTACTGGGTACTACCAGTACCATCACACCTAAAGGAAAAGAAACTTTAGTTAACAACCCATGCAGCAGTTATATTCAAATCGCAACCATTCAACGAACATATACAAACAGCCAACAAATTCAAACAACAACAATTCAGCAACTAAGTACAAACAACAAATATTTCATCAAATACAGACACCTTGAATCAAAACTGCTCTGATACCATTTAGTGTGACACCCTCCCCTGTATGCATCCAAGGGAGTTGTCTGCTAAGCGGATTAGAGTCGAAATGTTAACGAGTAAGTTCTGAAAATTTGGTTTTATGCCTCATTAAAATTTCGTATTCAAATCCGGTCTAAAAAAAAATTTTAAACCATGTGAAACTTAGCAAAATACATGGCTTGCTGAAACAATAATTTTCCTGAAAAACCTTACTGCTCTGTAAAAGTCGTATAAAATTGAGTTTTCCGAATTTCATTGTAAAGTTAATATAATATGAAACTAGACATGTGGGGCTTCGTGTGCATATAAATTATAAGCGAATCGGAGGTCTGTAGCCCTACGAAACAGAACTCGCAAAGTGCTCGCTAAATCAGTTTAAAGAAAATTCGAATTTAAAAACAGACAGAGTTGTTTTCGCAAACGAGTTTAGAATTACGCAAATTTACAACAGTACATAAAATCCCAAAATACAGCAAGATAAGACATGTTCTAACATTTTTCCAATCTCCCAAAATATTACACCAACATCAAATATTTCATGCGCATTCAACAGAATCAGCAAACAACCAGCAGTATTTCCAACAGCAGCATGTAAACAGAATATCTTCAATACAAGTACATCATTAAATGCTTTTTCATACTTCTGCAATTTATAAAAATTGAGCCTCCGAAGGGGTGAGAAAAATCCCAGTAGTGTGATAGTAAAATCAGTAAAGCAAAAATTAGACTAGGTACAAAATTCCAAAACAGTCGCATCAACATATAATTTTCCGGGCATATGCTAACATATATTCATAGTGCGTATATAACGCCAAAGTACTAATCATGATGCGTATATAACGCCAAAGGAATGTACGTTCATAGCATTGCAGTGCACGTACTACTAACAAGCACAGTGGAGATTCCATAGTGGCTTCTCAAGAGGATTCCATTTGCGACCTATGCGGACTGAAGCCAAGTGTCCCATACCCTGGTACCGGATGGATGCCTATATGATGCGTGCTCAAACGTATGCTTACTTTTATTATATACTACGGTTTCTAGAATGAATGCATAATGTTGTATGCTATGACATGATTGGCTTTACACACACATGAGAAATGCAGTTTTATGATGTGCATATGCATGACTAGATCATAATCATAATAACATATATGTTTCATGTATTTTTAATACCGAGCTGTCGAATAACAAATACTTCCAAAACAGAATTTCCATCATGTCAAGTCCAAGGCAGATTGCAAATCATATTTAACAAAATACGAATCCCAGGCTCATGTGAGCAACAGTTCAAAATTCCATACGCTAGCTAATAGTCACAATAGGTAATACCACCTAACACTTACCTTGGTGTGTCCAATTTTTACCCCAAGGCAGCCCCAAAGTCAGCCTACACTTTAAGAGTTTTGCACACCTAATCAAGTGCACAACAAGTCAGAATTTTATTCGTATTATCCTACTTTTTATAAGCAATTCCATGCCTTCCAAATCCTTGTATTTTAAATCAGTTTTAACATGCTTCTTATACTAACCAATTTCTGACTTCATGTTACTTCAATAACTTATTAATGGCAATAAAATTCAGAGTATCCAGCACATACAGATTCGATTTCTTAATATTAATAGATGCTCATGACATTTCCATTTACATAACCCACTCTATGAACCATGGAAGCGCTAAGGGAACCTATAAGCAGGCTGTATCATTAAATTTACTAATGCAAAGTTAGGCACATGGACTTATTTTAACTAAAAAGACCAACACTTTACAAGAGCTATTTTTTCCAAGCTCACAATTCGGGTTTTTGTGCTTACAAGCACTAGGTCCAAGGGTCGTCCAAATTGGCAGAAACAAGGAATAGAAATTGAAAACAAAACTAGCTTCTCAAAACATGCTTCTAGTACCCCTTTAAATTTTAAACGAATGACCATGATTCTTGCACTATGCCGATTCCTGACCTCACATTAATTTACCAACATGTAACAGCAAAAATCCCAAGGTCTCTTACATATACTGGTTTGGTTTTTCTTTTTAGCCTAACAAAATATTCAGGATTTTATTTACATAACCCATTCCACTAATTGCTAACAAATAAGTATTTTCCAGGATTCATAACACACACCCAAATTCGGTTTTAGTCATCAAATTGGTGCTTACTATTTTTCCTTTACCAAAATCCTACTCACATCATTTAGGCATGAAAATTAACATTCTAGCCTACTGTCTTCAGTTTTACTACTCACACAAGGTTGGGTATTTTGTCTACTTCAAAGGGGCAGCTCCTAAAATCTAGATGAGCCATATTCCATGCTCATAAAACCTTGCTATTAAGGCTTGCATACCTTGGTCCATTGTACGGTTCCAGGAGTAGAAACAAGAAACATGGATGACAATAAAATACTCCTCCTAAATCCTACATGCAGACCGAAACAAGAAGTAATGCAACATATTTTGTTGGTACCTTTTCGCACACACACCACAACCATAAATTGGGCAAGGGCCGTCCTATGCCTTCCAACGTTCCAAGAGGTCAGATTTAGCTGCATGTAATGGAAGGGGAACTAAATCAACACCAAATCGGTTGCATGCAGAAGGGGAAGTCATTCTGGACTAATTCAGGTTATGTTGGATAAGAAGGAAAATAAAATGCTTTACCTCCTTGAGTGAGGGTCTTCGACTGAACCCAAGAGAAGCAGAAAAATTATGAACAGAATTTGGATTTCAATCTCATTGAGATTTGCCTACTTCCGAACCGCGGAAGAAAGGAGAATGGTGGTGGAGATGAGAGTTCTTGTCTCATGGTTTCACGGTTGGTGGAGGATAGGTGGGGCTGGTTGTGTTTTTCTGGAACACAAAGCACATAATCAGATTTGTTGTGCTATGGTGATGCGCAAGGAGAGAAGATGGAGTAGTGGACCAATCAATATTCTGATTTACGAATCCAGCCTCGGCTTGTTTGGGTCTTCTAAGCGTACAAGTGAGGAAGGGGAAAATGTGAGGCTGAGTATTAATCTGTATCAAGGACCAGCGAATAAGATCATGTTTGTATTTTATCCATTAGGCGTGTAGGGAGGGAGAGGAGATGATATATTTACTTGCATTCTGATCTCAATGTCCAGCAAGAAAATTTAGAGTTGCTTTGGTACCTACTAAACGGGTAAGGAGAGAGAGTAAGAGAGTGGATGAGTGATGGCTTCCATTCCTAAAACATATACTCACCCATAATTATAATTAACATAATTATCATAATTCAACTTAAGTCCACCCTTCACATTTATATATTTCGAGTTCAAGGCAAGCTTCCAAGTTCCTAACTAAAATTTATATAACTTCCTAAATTCGCGGGATGTTACACTTGCGCACTTGGGTTGGAAGTGAGGGAACGAATCTGTGTTCTATAAGAACATAGGAACGTCCCCTATCAGAACTTATATTTTTCCACCATCAGCAAACCACCCAACAGTAATACTCCTCAAAAGTTATCAACATGGTAAGGTACGCTGAAAGTATTTTTTAGCTTGTTTTAACATAATTCTTCATCTAAAGAAGGTATATTTCAAAGGATGTAGAGCTACAACTATTCTACAAAATGTTACATGCATGGTATGCAGTCATAACACATCTTTTTGAAAGAAAACAAGATATATTTAAAGCCATCGCGGCTTAAAGGAAATTAGCATTTCAATTGTCAGTAGACTACCATTGTTTAAAACGAATTGGGGATGATCCCCTTACAATCCAAAACCAAGGAAGGATTAAGAAAAACTTAGATTGTCTGGATAGACATATCTTGAGGATCCTCGGTTACTCCAGCAGGATCCCCACCATCAGTAGCTGGCCCTTGCAGGGTTGGCTCTTGCATAGTTGGCGCGATAGTCTCCGTATCCATGGCGCTGATTAAATCTACTGAACTTCTTCATATTTTTCATTCAGAGTCATTAATTGACCATTCTTCATATAATAGAGATAATGGACGTTGTCCAACTTAACTGACGGGTTGAAGAGGCGCACTTGCTTAATAATGTTAGTATAGGTCCCTTCAGCTTCCTTCTCGAACAAATCTTGAAACCTCTTCACTTCGCATTCAACTGGGCTTCCTTCTCTTTCTAGGTATCAGTGTTTCCCTCCAACTCCAAGACGCGCTTGTTTAAGTTAATCTTTTCTGACTTTAACTCTTTATTTGCCGCCTTCACCTCTTTTAACTCCAATTTCACCATCGCCATCTCATCCTCAGTCTTCTTTAATTTTCTTCAAAATCTGTGCGCTATTGAACGATCTCCCCCTTTAATTCATCAATGCATTCCTTCAAGAAATCAACAGACCCTGCTACATAGAATATGTTATAGCCAAAAGATGGATATCACATTTTAAAGGAACAAAGCGACAAATAGTTACTTACCAGGCACAGACATAATGAACTGATTCGCTATACTCAGCTTCGCAGAAGTCCCCAGCCATTTCTCCCTTGGTAGCGCTTCAATGCGCGGACCTATTTCTCTGCCCTTGTCAAACATGTCTTTATCGAACTCCCAGCCATCCCTAAAATAAATGAGGTATGGGAAACCCACGTTAATCTCCTCAAATTTCATCTTTTGTCCCTTCGAGACACCTTCTACCTCTTTTTCAGGGGGGATGACATTGATGGGGGCAGCTGGAGGACCTGGTAATTTCAACCGCGCGGTGGCACCTTCGCTTGATTCAGCACCAGTGGTGGTAGCAGACATGGAAGGCTTAGTAGGAATAGAAGGGCCGGCATCTGCAGCACCTCGCATGGCCGCTATCTTCTCTAACATACTCAAAGAAGCCACCATTGAACTATCTGCAACAAATAAAAAATAGTGAATGTTAGACAAAATAAATCAAATTCTTTATGTTGAAATCAACAAACAAATAAAGGTCAAAATTACCCAAAAAGGAACGAATATCCTCATCAGTATATTCATTCAAAATTGTATACGTTCTCAAGTAGCCCGTATCTGAAGCCTCACGCGTAATATTACTTAGCATGGTCAGAGTTTGTTGTTCCAGATCACTTAAATCATCAAAATTATAAACCAAATTTTCACCCTCTAACGGATGCTCGGTCCAATACAGAGGAAAGATTGGAGTGTTATTCTCTCCTAGGAAAAATGGGCTGGAGCCTTCAGCAGGATAGACCTTGAAGAATTATGTGGTCCACTTGTTAATTTTCCTCCAGTATGATTCACAGAACTTCACCTTTCTTCTAAAGGATACCCAGCTCGAATGTGGTCCCATCACGCTAAACATGTATAAAAATGACTCTAATGATTGAAAAAGGTTATAGGCCTTGTAGACCATCTCGTATACCCTGATAAAATCCCAGGAATTTGGGGTCAACTATGAGGACGCCACGTTAAGATGCGCCAGCAACTTACATACGAAAGATGAAAAGGGAAGGCGAACTCCTAGTGATAAGAAAAAATAGGCATACATCATAATGAAATGGCTGGTGGACCCTTCTGCGCACGATGAGAAAACGCGCTCGTTTAATGGGACGACATCAATTTCCAACTGATCATCAAAAGCTTTGTCAGGGGTGATGTGGATGGCAACTTTTACTTGCGCTAATTCTTCTGGTGAGCAGTATATGGAAGCGGTATCCAGTACCGTATCTGCTACCCAAGTTAGGGATTCTTATCCCGCAGATTACGTTTGACTGGGGACTCTCCTTCGGGATCAATATGTAATACTTTCTTCTTGGTATCAGGATTCAGCTTCTGCTTCTTCTTCTCACCAGCACCGCCTCTCACTATAATTTCCTTGATTTGAGGGGAAACGAAATCTGATTCAGAAGAAGAATCAGTAGAAGAAGACGAGTCAGAGGAAGCAGAGACAACAAATGCAGATTTATAATTATCAAAATTCCTTTTCTTAAAAGGATACCTTGTCGGGTATGTTACAATTAAAGGTAATGGACTTGGACTCTTTTGTCCGCGAGAATCTTGTGCGATGGGAGATGAAGTATCGCGCGATAAATTTGAAGAGGACGATCTAGGGTTTATTGTATTTACAAACCTATGACTACATTCAGAACTCGAAGACGAATCACTCGAAATCAAAATAGGACCAGTCATTCTAAAAGAAATCTTTGGGAACAAAGATGAACTCTGTTGTGAAAAACTTTTCGCGTTTTCACGATTAAGTGGTCGCGAAGACGAACCAAGTTCAAACCGTCGAACAGGAGGTAAACGACTATCATTTACAAAAATGTTAGAACAGGGAGCGGCACACTTGTCAGTAAGCCACGCTTCCCTAGTTCCCAATGACCTTGACCTAGGTAATGATCTAGAGGAAGGACTGGACGAGCCAGACTGTTCGGATAATCTGATAAAATTCACAAATTTGTAGTTGTAAGTATTTGTCATGTAAATTGAAATGAAAGGTGGCTCAATTACTATGCTCAAACTCATTAGATCAAATTGTGTGATTTGGATTATTTCTTTTGCAAATACTTTTTTAACCATTTGAGAGTAATGTCAAGCGACCACCGAAGATGTCAAATAGAGAATGAGCAAAATTGAATAGAAAAATAATTGACAAAATTAGACCGTTGTTTTATATAAATGTTTTTAATCATGTTCCAAATAAGACATCAATTGAAGAACTTAGTAAAAAATTGGTAACTATCCGAGAGAGTAAAACAGTTGGGAGGAAAACATTCTTAATGAAAAAGCTTGTAAATTTGAAGTATAAGGATAGTATTACTATCAGTGGACACTTGAATGAGTTTCAAAGTATAGTGAATCAATTGATCACAATGAAGTTGACCCTTGAAGATGAACTACAAGCTTTATTGTTCATGAACTATTTATTAGATTATTGGAAAATCTTGGTGATATCTGTCAGTAATTCTGCTTCAGAGGATAAATTATCAAAGAGTATGGTTACTAGTGCACTATTGAATGATGAGACCAAAATAAAGTCCATGGATTCAAATGATGCACAAACACTTGTCATAGAAAACAAGAGAAAGAGAACGAGAAATTTTATAAAGGTCATACCCAAAACAAAAGTCGTGGAAAGTCACAAAAATAGTTTAAAATCTAAGGAAAGAGTTAAGTGTTACCATTGTGGTATTGAGGGGCATATAAAGATGAATTGTTGAATTTGGAAAAGAGAACAAAACGAAGTTAGTAGCCATAGGAAAGGTAATAATAAGAACACCACTATTGTTGAATATTAAGGATTGCTTTGGATAGAAAAAATTTTAAAGCACTTTTAGCAATAGAAAGTGGAAGCTCACCAAGGATTCTTCAGTGGTTGCAAAAGAGATGTTTGTTGCAATTTATAACAAACTAAAGTGAAGATATACAGAAGCAGATTGAATGTGGCATTGGAGTTTGGGTCACATGAGTGACAAAATGTTATGGGTATTGGCAAAGAAGTCTCTAATTCCCTTTGCCAAATGTATATATTTAAATGCATGTGATTATTGTATTATTGGCAAGCATCATAAATATTCATTCCAAAAGCATCATGATAGAAAATGTAACCTATTATACTTGGTGCTTTCTGATCTTTTTGGTCAATTTATTGTTTCATCATTTGGAGGTAATGTAATGACCCTAAAATTTTAATAAATAACAAAGTCGCCACAAATTTTATTTAATTATGAAAATTGGAAAATCATTTTTATTTTGCAAACTGGTTTTTAAAAATTTAGATCAAATTTTATTTTAAATTTTAAAATAAGTCATCAACTATTTTGATGCTTTATTTTTAAATTAATTTACCAATAATGATTTTAAATTCTTTATTATTTAAAAAAGTTGAGTCATCAAATTGTCATAGCCCAAATGACTCTAAAATTAACGAGACTAATAAGCTATTACAGCTCAGTCAATCTCTTATTAGCAAATATTTTTTAATATTTATTATTATTATTTTTGTTAATACAAAGTTTACAAGGAAAGAATGATAAAGTTAAATAGTTTTGAGTCACTTAGCTGTTACAACTAAAATGATCATAAAGTAATCTCAACTCGGCTAATCCATTTTTATTGTTAAGAAGAGAGAGAAAAAATTATATTTATATTTCTCTTTAAAATGGCAGAACATCAGTCACCAAAAGCAACATGCTAATAATATAATTAAACAAATATGCTAACAACTATAAAATAACAAATCATTGAATGTAGCAATTACTAACAACATATTGTGAATTATGAACGCAAGCTGCGCAACAAACACGGGGGTTAATTTTAAGTTTCTCCACATTGACATAAACTAATATCAATAATAATAAAATAAATAAATAATAGCTAAAAAGAAAGGTAAAACCCATGAAAAAAAGAAAGATAAAATACAGACCCAACAATGTTCATAAAGCCCAAGAAAAGGTTCCTTTTATTCCAGCAAGTGGGCCATCAAACAATACATATTAGTAGTTTTTGTAAGCATAGTGATAAGTCTCTTAAATGAGACTTGGAACATATGGTTTAAAGTGCAATTGGAGAGAAAAGAATAATTTTCGTTATTAAAATAACCCCAAATTTATGTTGAGTTGTTCTTTGCTGGTTAAGTGCTAATGGGCTGTAAGTTTCTCATTTTTAGTCCCATGTTCCATCTTTCGAATCAAAGAAGCCCAAATCAAAGAAAGATAGGAAAACAAGAAATGGGCCAAGCAACGAAAATCAAAGACACCCAAGTGAAGAGAAGCCAAATGCAAAGAAAAGCAAATAAAAAAAGAAAGATAGAAACAAATGGGTCGGACCTTTGACTAAAAGCCCAAGTGAAGGAAAAGCAAAAAGAAAAGAAGGGATCGAAAGAAAGAGACAGAATCAGAAACGAAAAGAAAGTGCTGAGGAGAGAAACCCTAACACATATTGTGCGAACAAGACCCACCTTCATTCGACCGAAAATCCACACCCTCCATCCAAACTCCCTGCAACAAATTGACTCGTAAAGCCAGACCGCTCCTTGTCTACGGTTTATCCATCAAGTTTAACCCTCACCCACGGTCCACCAGGGGATTAATCAAACCTTAACCACTATTGCTTTATATAGAAAATTCCAAACAAAATCCTCCATTGAGTGGGTGAGCTGGATTCTGTTGTGAGTGGAGGCTGAAGCAATTTTTTGGATTGTGAGAGTAAGGTGTGGAGCAGCTGGGGACCACTGATGTGCAACGCGCAAGAAGCATGTGATGCTTGCTGAGGTGTGAGTCAGAAATCCATACATGCAAAGGAAGAAGGCTATATAAAGGGAAGGAATAGTGAGTGTGCGGCGCTCTCTGGTTTTTTATCTGATTTTTACCTTCTATTTTTCTGTACCCTTTTATGGAGATTTTATTTTTCTTTGTTTTGGCACTGTAATGAAGTCTGATTTCTATTCCCTCATGTTGGTACTGCACCTTTTATTTTCTGCACATTTAGTTTCTGTAATTTGAATAGTATTTTGTTGTTTGAAGCTCAACCCTCATGGGTATGAGCTAATCTATTCTAGGTTGGGTGTAGGTACCCGAACCTCAGTTATGAATTTGTTCTGATTACTTCTGTTGAAATTGATTCCCTTTTTGTTTAACATTGTGTTTGAATTTAAATATTCTATTGTTAAGGCCTGATGGTAGGATAATATTTTAGGAATTAGCCATTGAGAGATGGCTAAGTCCAGAACTGTGTTAAGCATATGGACTTGAGTGTGAGAGCACTCAAGGGATACTCAGAGATGAGAACAGCCTCCATGTAATTTTTGATTGGACTATAAGGGTCTTTGCTTCGTTTAGCACAGAGATGTGCAAATGTCTGTTTAGGACAAAATTGTTTTTAAGAGATTAAAAGCAAATAGAAAGAATCCATCACTTGGGAATTAATTTTTAGGGACTTGTAATTAGTACTCATTCAGAGGCTGTTGGGGGGGGGACTGAAACTCAACCTACTTTACAATTTGTTTTTCACCAACTTAGATTTATTTTCATTTGATTTTCAAAAACCTCACTTCTAATTCTGTTTACAAATATCTTTATATAAAAATCTTTTTCAATCAAATATTAATTTGTTGTCCTTCCATTTTCCACTTTCTAATTCAGGAAATCAAATTTGAAATATAAAAAATATACTTATAGTTACTAGTCAGTAGCATTTTAGATTAGTCAATTCGTTTTTATTGTTACATCATTTTTAGATTAAATTCAGTTTTTGCAATTACAAAGTTTAATTAAGTTACACACGCTAAAGATCCTTGTGGGAACGATAAAAGGATATCAAAGACGCCTTGTATTACTTGTTGTCGCGTATACTTGCGCGCTACTTGCATAACTGTTAGCAAGGCAACACATAGCAATAAATGATAAGTAATGAAAAATAACTAAGATAGAGAATAAGAAAAGAGAGGCACTCTCACGTTGTTAATAGAGCTTTCAACATTTTTCTTGGCGCAGTCAAATCTAAGGGGGAAAAACTACAAAGGATTTGGGGAAGATGTCTTGACATAGTGGTGCTTGGAAAGGAGATTAAAATCTTGGTTCAGTTTTGTGATGAAACGACAAGGATGCAGTACGGTGGGAATGGAGTATAATGGTTGTTTTGGTTATAAGCAGTAGCGGATCTAGAAAATTTTATTTATGTGTATATATTTAGTCCAAATATTTAGTGGAGGAGATTTGGGGCAGTGCCAGAAAAAAATTAAACAAAGTTTTAAATGCATTAAAAAAAAGAATATAAATTAAAAGAAATTTATATCCTTCACGGTACATGAATCAAATTGTTTGTCATGTTAAAAAAAAGACAAGACCAATTAATTGAATAATATGTAATCTCACTTTCTTTAATATTATATAACTGGACAAAAAATTTCGTTCATATAATATGAGAGATATAATCCTCAAACAACAAAAGAAAAGAAAACTTGAACTTAACATAAAAAAAAATAGTAATCAACTTAATGATATAAATATACTAAAACATAAGCAGTAAATAAGATGTGTTTCTTTCTTAGTATCTGTGTTTGTATTCTTGGCAATGCAGCCACTAAAATTGCTCTTGGGGTAACGTTCCTAATTAATTAAAAATATATATATCTTTTTTACTAAAAAAAATATAACCAAATTTATGTATACACTTGCACACATTGGCAACCAAATAGGTCCCCCACTTATAAGGATTTTGCGGTCATGGATGCCGGTGATGACACGGTGTGAGGTGGTAGAGAATCGACACCAAGGTTTGAACAAAAAATTATATTTAAGATCTGAGTTTCATTGATGTTGATCTGTTCTTGTAATTAAGAAAATTTCGCAACTTTTCTTTTTGGTTGTTTAAGGTTAATTTTCTCTTCTCAAGTGTCATAGGTTCAGTCTTGGACAACAACAAAATTGCATATCTCGATTTGGTTCTTGCAATAAGAGAAATTAACATGGTCCATAAACATCTAAGGAATCACATATTCCATATATTATCAATCATCTACCATCCAAGTCATTAAAACAACAGAGGATAAAACATATTTCAATAGTGTAAGTGTTGGTAGATTAGGTAAGGGCCACAAAGGGATAATACCTCATCTTCAAAATTTCTACGGAAGACATTTCCACCCACCAAGAAACAACTAGTGGGTGGAAATGTCTTAACAGGTGTTCCTTCTAGCTTCAACTCTTTCTCTCAACAGGTGTTCTTTTTCTTTTCTCCTTGAACTCTTGTCCCTCACCCCCTCCCAAAAAAAAAAAATTCCCTTCTAATTTTTTATAGACCAGGACTCTTAGCTATGTAGCACCGACATCAACACGCGACACGACACTTTACAACACTTCGACACGTTAGTTCTAAAAAAATAGGAATTTTGAAACTTTGAGATACGTTTTAATATTAAATAATTTTTTAATTTATATAATATATATTTCATTTAATAGTGTAATAAAAAAATGAAACTAAACTAATAATACTCATCAATTTAGTATACCAAACATCAAACAGTGAGCAAAATAAAGAATAGTCAAAACTAAAAAGGCTTCATCTACTCTTAATAGGTAATATATATTTTGTTGCTTTTATTGATGATGTTATAGTATTTCCAGCATTTCTATATCATGGTAGAAAGAGAAACAATGAAGCTAAATATCTCTGCATTAATAATTGAGGAGAGTACACCTCAATTTTTTTTGATAATTATTGTTCTAAATATGGTATTAGATATGAGAAGATAGTTCCTAGAACCCCACAACACAATAGGGTAGCAAAGAGATCAACCATACTAATACTGAGAAAATATGATGTATGTTGAAGATGATTACTTTACCAAAATCTTTTTGCGGAGAAGCAATAACATCTTTTGCTACTTGATGAATAGTTCTCCTTCAGCTCCTTTAGATTCAAATATTTCAAAAAGGGCATTGTTGGGTTTGAACTTGTTGGTTGCTTAAAATATTGTTATGAAGGACATTCCCTTACTTCAGTTCATCAAGAGAAAACACATTTGTTCTCTTGACTTTAACCCAAGTGCGCAAGTGCACGCATCAAGTAATAAATGAGATTATTAGTGCCCAGATTATCGTTCCCACGAGGATAGTACTCTAAGTAATGCCTTAAACTATATCAAAAAAAAATGAAAATGAAAAGAAAAATTAGTAATTGATCTATTTGGTCAAACGTTCCCTACTATCTTGACAACGTTCCTCAAGAATAGTAAGTTCAATCTGACAGCAAACAGCTCCTCGCGTCGTTATGTATAAAATCCTTCCATAATCAATATTTACATATACAAGGTTCTCCAATAATACAATTACATTACATCAACTATCAAATTTAACCATTACATAATCAACATAATATCAAATGACTTAAACCCAAAAGCATGAACAACTCTAAGCATGTCACAACATCTCATACAAGACCAATGTCCATGCACTAAGTCAATGATACAAAATATGCATCTACCATGTGCATCAAATTAATATCTCAAAATGCCAAGTAATCATCATGCACTCCTATGTACATGTCAAAATACTCCATATGTTCGTATCCGCACTAAGTAGGCTTCTTGCCTACTACTCCTCCAGCAGCACTAGTGGTACCTAACAATAATGCCCCATAACGCGGGGTGAGGCTTGACAATCTCAGTAAACCACAGGTCCTAGAGGGTCACTCCACGCAATGACTCACTCAAATGTGCAGACAGTAATAATATCCATATAGTACATCATACCATCAGACAATCAATCAAGCAGATAATCAATAACCAACTGGGCACAAATCCAAGAACATCCATCAGGGATATTGTTAAAGAACCCCATCATATAACTCCCAAAATATTCCTAGAGTGTTAACAACTCTAAGGCCAACGCCAACCGGAACCCCCACAAAGAGTCTTATCTGGCGAAAGTTCCCCTAATTTCTACTGATTAGAGAATAGGCAATCAGGCTTCACGGCAATTAAGTCGCACGAGCAATCAGGCTCAATAAGCAATCAGGCTTCACAGACAACAAGCATATTTCACACAACATATTATATTAATGAATATACTTTATTAAACATTATCATAGGTCACAAATTCCAACAACCATCACAAAGTACATGGTGGAGCACACAATCGATTAACCTTTGGACACATAGAAATTTTTCTGTAAAAAACTCCACAAACTCAATCCTCTACAATCGGATCTGAGGAAGATAACCTACAATGATCATACACATAATATGATCATTCATATGCTTGAGAATACACAATCAAACACAAACAACAACCCCCACATAAACACATTAACTCACGGTTGTAAGGCTATCAAATGCCTCATTGTGTCATTAATTCTTTCTAACCAATTCCATCACTTCAATGACCTTAACAACCAAATCACCAACACATTCACACACCTTCCATCAAGCCACAACACAATTCACATCATTTTCCCTTAAAATTTCCAATATGGCCAAATGTGTTCATCAATAGAATCAAAGGATTTTTCAACCAATTCACATCCTTAAAACTCTTTCTAAACTTCATAATTAATGATTCAAACAACCACCAATCAATTACATCATCCATCAAAGACTTCCTTCACAAATCATCATTCTTTCATCCTTGAAAATTTGTTTAAGTGTTAGCACCAAAATCACTTAAACTCTTATTGGATTTCTACCGATTATTTATCCATACGAACAATAAACTCCAAAAGAACATAGCCATAAAACCTCTCTAACCATGCTCACCAACATACACATCATATTATGTCCAAAATTTTGATCCATAGAAAATACTGAGCGAAATTGAGAAATCTTACCACCAATGAATTCCTAGGTTTCGAGAGATTAATATACAAGCTTTCCAGTAACAAAACCACCAATAATGGCTAATCTCACCTCACAAAACCGCCACCTTCAAGCTCACAGATCTCCTCACAAACTCAATTTCTCGAGAAATTCTTTTATGATTTTGATCACCAAGAGATTCCGAGTATTTGTCATGTTGTAACTTTCTTGATTCAGTGTCAAAATAAAAGTTGCAAACTCCAGCTATTCTCCAATGGTAGGTTCGACGATCACACTAAAGAGGAGGAAGAAGGCAAGCTAGGCCAATTCAAAGACCAATTAGAAATAGCCACTTTTTTTGACTTTTTAAAAAAGTTTTCTAAAATATCTAAATTCAATTTACTTAATTAATCTTCTTAAAATCTTACTTAATTTCAAGACTTAGGTATTTTCATAAATTCAAGATGCATAATTATAGTTTAATAATGTCACAATACAATGTTAAAAAGATTCGGGCAATTTTTGCCTAATTTCACTTTTGCCCCTATTCACAAACTAACTGTAATTTTTTTAAAATATCAAAATTCCTCAAATAATTTAAATAATTATACTCCAGTATATTCATTCCTAGAATATTCAAATAATTTTTAAGTCTCTCTGTAAAATTATACTCCAGTATTTCATTCGCTAAAAATTAATATTCATCAATATTTTAGAAAAGTGTGTATTCACTTTCAAATTTCGTTCTGAATCCAAATCCAACATTATTTTCACCAAATAATGTCTGATTATATCATTTCATAATTTTAGAGTTCGGTAATTATTAAATTATCATTTTTCCTTTCGAATCCATTTTCTCCATAAATTCAGGATTTTCACTAATAATAATGTATTTTCAATTTTGTGAGGTGTTATACTCTTAGGGTTATAGATACATTGGGTTGCGGCATAATCACCTTTCATGAACTAATAATCATCAATAACCCGCGTTTGAAAATGGAAAATTGACTTGGTCAATTGACTTTACAAGAAAATCTTGTTGAATGGTTAATTAAATCGCACAAAGCAAACAAGAGAGGCAATTAATTAAGATAGTGTCTATCAAAGTTTTATTTATTTATTCATTGGAAGAGGAAGACATAGAAGAAACTAGTTTTGCTTTCTTCTAATATAAATTAAATCATAATTTTTTGTCTGTTTAGTTTTTTCAATATTAAAAAAAAGCATTTTTGACTTCTACAATATGCATTAGATAATCTTCAACTACCATACAGTTGAAATAAAATAAGTACAAAAGAAATATTTAGTTCACATTTCGAGTAATGACACGAGTTAAAGAATAAGTGAGGAACATAAGACATAGTAGACATAAACAGACAAGCTAATGGTTGGCATTTGATTACAACTTTAGTATTAATTTTAAGACGAGCTAATTAGACGACTTCTAGAATATTTTTATATTAACTTCAAGACTTCAAGTTTGTTAATTATCAAGATGAGCAGATTAGAAAAGGCTAATGATAGGAATTTGACTCGAGGCCTAAACCAGATATAAGTTTCACAAGTATTAGTTAAGTTTTGAAATTAGGAGAGAACATTTGGGCTACTTTTAAAAGATCATTAACAATATTTGTTTAATTTAAGTTAATTTTAATTACCAGAAACATGGATATAAATATAGATAGATAAACAGGATAGAAATAAATAATTTAGCCACCATAAAAATTGATCAATTAACTCCTTAAATATAGTACCAATGGCCGTTGCACTTCATAGCAAACTCGTTTATGGCGCATCAGTACATACGCATATGTACCACTATCTTTAATGAACTTAAAAAATTTCTTCTATAATATAATGCTTATTTTCATAATTATCCCAACATTAATTTTGTACGAGACTTCAATTTAATTGTTAGTTTCATGGACATTGCGAAAAGCTTGTCTAACAACCACTTCTCTTTTCAGAAAGGATAGTTTCCACAACGATGACGCGGTTTGAATCGATTGAGCTAAGCAGTTTCCTATAACTAAAAATAAACATTATTTTTTTTTTCTTAAGACTGGGTCTACGAAACCATAGTTTACCCTTCAAATCAAACTCTTCTTCAAGACATGTTTTATTCCACAACAACAAAAATGCCTATAAATACCAAATGCACAAATACTTCTCCAAGCACTTGTCCAACTCCTTTAACCATAAACCACTCTCACACCCCTTTTCTCCAAGCACTAGCACTTCTTCTAACTCATATATCAAGATTTTCTCTTAAACAACATTATGGTGAAGGTAAGGAATCTTCTTTAACTCAGCCATATAGTTTCATTTATATATATATATGGAGAGGGTTATATTTATAAATTTTTTTTTACAAACTACACTACGTTCTCCCGAAAGTACATAGTATAATTTGCAAAAATTTGTAAATAAAATTTGCAAACGAATCATTTTCCTATATATATATATATATATATATATATATATATATGTGTGTGTTGGAATAAAATATAAAGTATTAAAAAGACCATCACCTATCACCTTAAGATTTTGGATATCACCTATCACCTTAAGATTTTGGATTGAAATAGTTCTTTAATATATATATATATTTATATATATATATATATATATATAATGTTATAAAGCGTCTACCAAAAAAAAAATGTTATAAAGCTCTGTGTCACATAATAGTGATCAAAGATTTATTACATAGTTTCATTTGAAAGATTAGAAAAATCTAGTAAAATATTGTTCTTCTCATCAAATAATGTTATCTATGGTTCTGAAATGTTTGCAGCAAAAGGTGGTGATAAAAGTGTCTATGAATGGCTCCAAGTCCAGGTCAAAAGCTATGAAGATTGCAGTTGGAGTTTCAGGTAAGAAAAGTTACAGGGAATTATTAATTCTCACCCTTTTTTATTCATGAAGTTCAAAATCATAGCTTAAAAAAAATATATGCTCTTTGCAAAATCTTCAGGAGTGGAAACTGCAGCTATTCAAGGGGAAAACAAAGATCAAATAGCGGTAACTGGAGAAGGGATTGATTCAGTTTGTCTGACATCACTTCTAAGAAAGAGTTTTTGCCATGCAGAACTTGTGAGTGTTGGCCCTGTGGCTGTGGAAGAGAAGAAAAAAGAGGGAATTACACTACCAATAGTGTGGCCTTATGTGAGTGGTGTTCCTCAGTGCCCAGTCTATGAGATAAGGCACCCATCTCAATATCAGGACCCTTCTTGTTCCATCATGTGATCAAGAGAGTTTTCAAAGGAAGAATGATACCAAGAAAACATACATTGATTAGGCTTTTTAATTTATGTAGCATTGTTGCAACCAAATCCTTCTGCTGTCTGCAACATGTTGGACCTCGTTTCATCGATAAGCATAAGACAAAATGTTAACAAATCATTAAAAAAAACAACAACAAAAAATGCTACAAGAATTATATATTGTAGAAAGAAAAAAGAAAAAGAGAGAGTGAAAGTAGAAGAGATAAACCAGTTATATTTTGAGCATGTATGGTGTGATATGGGAGAGGGTTTCAATGATTTTATTCAATATTTTATATTTGTTGGATGTAACAAATAAAGTTAAACGCAAATTTTGAAACCTGATCAGGGTTACGGGTTATGTTGAATTTGTGGTCTCAATTGTTAAGGTTTGATGCAGAAATAAAATTTATGTAAACAGAGGAATACAGAGTGGGAAAAGAAAGAGAGTTAATTTTTTAATGTATGACTGCACTTACATGTGCTATGGTACAGAAATCAGGTTTGACTGTTTTGAGAGTTTTATTCATGTTGGATGTAACAAAGAGTTTCATAATGAAGCTTCTCACAAATGATTGCAAAATGTCCATGTTCTTATTGGCCTCTGTCTAAGATCATTCTGAATCACAAAAGTTCATCGAATACACGTGTGTTTCTAGTGGTGTCTTAGGTTCGATTCTGAGGTTTTCTTTTTTTGTTAGGCGATATATAATATGCCATCTTAAATTCTTATTGAATCTTCATTGCAGTTGATGATTTTTTCTGACTTTTAAATTAAAAGAAGATACTATGGTTCTAGCCGGGATGACTTATCTTTGATTGGATTGAAGAAATTGATTAGTCCGTACACGAACAAACTGACTTAATCCCACATGACGGTCATTTAGAAAAGAAAATTGAAAACTATAATGATCTTTTCAGTAATGGAAAACCAACATTATTTAGAAATTAAAAAATTAACAGAGGAATGGTTCAAACATGGAAGATAGGAAACAAGATATTTCATTTGGTAGGACTAGGAGCCTCATTCTCTTTATCTTGTGGCTATTATTTAGCCATTGCAATTAAAATTCAAAGTCTAAGTAATGCAAAGGTAATATAGATATATAATTTTAAAAAATTCATATAGCTTACTTAATCTTGCAGCAATTTAATGTAGGAACGGTTCTTCATTCCATATTTCCATTAAACTAACACCGATTTATCATATTAAATATAGCAATTTATGATTGTGCTGAGAGTTTGACTTTGCCCATATAATATTGCTGCTGCTTCTAGATTATTGTTGTTTTGGACTTTTGCGAACACAACAGCAAAATTGAAATAAACTAAATAGCATTCGTTCCATGAGGATATTGAAATCATTTAGAAAGCATAAAGTAATAAATTGATAATTTGAAAATGAAAAATAAAATTATTTTATTTGGTTCAATTTATTTAGTTGTTGTAGCTCGTGTCATTGCTGGAGAGGTGAACTCGGTTTTTGTTTATTTATTTTACGTCGGCTGTCTGATTGATTGAAAAAGTATATAGTGTATATTGGAGATTTACAAATAGTTTCTCAATTGAAAAGATTAAAAGGACAAATTAATATTTTATTTTATTTTTGGATTACAAAAGGGAAACTCAGAAAGACAAATTAATTTTAATTTAAAAGAAAAGGAGATTTTTTTCTTCTTCATAAATCATTCCCATTACCCATGGATGTCAATTAATCCGGATACAAGTCGGACAGAATCTTAAGGAGAACTTTTAAAAAAATAAAATAAAATTGTGGCACATGATACCTTAGTCCTCCAGAGAATATAAACTTTATAGTTATTATTTTCATAAGTTTTAATACATCTGATCTTTTAATAGTCACATTTAGTTACATTAGAAGAGTTTTCATTTGTTAAAGAAAAAATGAGGCGCGTGTTGGGACGCGCGCGATAATTCTCTTTCTGCTAGGGTTCTTGCTGAATTCTTTCGCTGGTGTTATGGAGGAATCGAAGGAGAGTTTCAATGATCCTTTGTCGATGGATAGGAAGAGTACGAAACGCACGAAGAGTGGAGATGAGATACCGATGGAAGCTCGTATGAGAGATGCTGTGAAGGAATTTCAATCTGGCAAAGTTGCGCTAGAGAAACAACGATCTTCTGCTGAGGTTACTGGGATGGAGAATGGAGTTTCGGGGGAAGCTATTCCCTGGTTGCAGGAGGAAGAAGCTGCTGATCTGGACCCGCTTGACCCGAATCAGGGGAAATCTCTGAATGGGGGTTTCAGACGATTGTGCGTGAAGATGGTTCAGTGGAGATCCGTAGTAATGGTGAGGCTAGAGCGAGGATGAGGCAACGCTAGAAGAATGCACTGATTGTCAAGCTGTTGGGGAAGAGGATCGGTGTTGGATTCATGAAAAGAAGGCTGGAAGCACTTTGGGCAAAGGCAGGAAGCATTACTGTTGCTGACCTAGGAAATGAGTTTTTTTCGGTCAGATTCAGCAGCTTGGAGGATTTGAATCTGGCAATTACGGGAGGTCCATGGGTGATACTGGGTCACTACTTAGCAACGAGGAAGTGGGAGCCTTGTTTTGATCCGGACAAGGCGAACATACACAAGGTTGCTGCATGGGTGCGTCTTCCAGGTATTCCTAGTGAGACTCCTCATCAGTCAAAGGATAAGCCTGGACTTCAAGGGGTTGGGGAATGGATGGTTGTTCAAAGGAAGAGAAAGGCACTCAAGGTTCTCAGAAAAAGGAAGTTAAGAATTATAGGTTGTTTGGCA